CTGCTTTAAATTATTGAACTGATAATGGAAATGGTCTTAACTATTAAGCTTTCGATGAAGATACCTAATTGGCTAGGCGTTTCTTTGCTTATAAATTCATAGTTAACATACGATTTAAGCAAACTGATGATTTATGTTCCTAACTGCTATGAGATCACCTAATTGCATTGGCGAAATTCAAATTGCCATCATCATTTCCACCTGCAAGGCTTTACTGCTTAGGATGAAAACATTTGTTCCGTTGAGGCTGCACTTGACAAGGCTTAATCAAACTTCTTTCACTCACAATCCCACCCTGCCCGACCGCCTTCCACTGGGTTACGGAGGTTGGTTGTGTGGTTGTGGTTGAGAACACCGCGACGTACATTAACCTTATCAGTCCATCCGACAGCCCCACCCTGTCCGGCCACCTTCCACTGGGTTGCGGGCGTTGGTTGTGTGGTTGTGGTTGAGACCCTCGTGACGTACGCCGTCGCTGAGGCCTCGTGCCCTGAAGGCTCCCAGCTCGTGTCTCTGTTCTACGACAACTTCCTCACGCTCGCCAACAACGTCGAGCAGACTTCCTACGAACCATGTAATTTTAGACTACGTCTCTGAGTTGATTAGAAAAATTTGAATCTTTGTGCTACAATAACTCCAGTGAGCTTGCCGACTTCGCAAAAACGACATTTCTCTACCTGCTTATCTGCTTTGGTTTAATATTGAATTCAGCAAATTTTAAATTTTTTAAATACCAGATCCTGCCAACGTTTTTTAATTTGTCGCTGATTCTATTTCAAGCGTTGGTCTGAAGCGTAAATCAAACTAGTACCCATCTGAGTACCGTTTACTGGACAATAAGAAGTTCAAAACTCTGTTCTCCCGTTAAAACTGTCTTGTAACAAGAGAAATCAACAATCACAATACATGAAGAGCAAGCTCATTGGATAACATGAATTATTTGCCTTCACTTGCCTTCCCAGTGGTTACAGTTCAGAGTACCAGGATTGGAGCAGAGAGGTACGGGTTCGATCCCAGCTCTGTCCGCCAGTTTCTGGTCAGAATCGGCGAGGAGGCCGAGCGGTTAAGGCTGTTAGTCAGAATGCAGCGAAGTCTGAGAGTTAGATTTTCGCAACCATCGTGTGAAATCCTTGATCTGCCCGAAGCTCGGCCAGTCGCTACCCTCGAGCTTGTACTCTTTGTAGTATGATATCCTACCCAGACCCTTTTTCGCGGCAACTGGTCGCTTTTAGGTGGCCGAGGAATGGCCAGCGGTCGGCTATAACTAATTGGACTAGGCCGACCACTGGCCACGTATTATTTCCTCGCCCCTCATTGAGTTCGCCTTCACCATGCCGCCCGTCGTGAACTGACAGTTCAGAAATTTACGATGTCTCTTTCCCCTCATACCTTCCACAGCGCCTGCTTTTGAGCTGCATCGGGGATTTTCCTTCCGCGTATCAGCAGTTCAGGCGTCCATTAGACGCACAAGGCTTGGACGTCACTCCTCCACTGGGTCCGGTTTGCAGCTGCCTGCCGTGCTATGTTCCACGAGTCCCAGCCTGGAAACCACTCTGTTGTCTCGCTCTCATTTATCACGGAGCACTGGAAGTCCTCATAGAGAGTCCTGACTAGCCGGATCAGCTTCTGAGATATTCCATATTGGCGCATGATGGCCCAAAGGCGGTCTCGGTGTATTGAATTAAATGCCTTCTCAAAATCAACGAAGTGGACGTACAATGTAGCGTTCCATTCGTTGGCTTGCTCTAGGATGTTTCTGAGAATGAATATCTGGTCGACAGTTCCTCTTCCCCTCCTGAAGCCTGCTTGTTCCTTCCTGAGCAATGTATCCACTCCACCTTGTATCCTGTTGATGAGGATCTTGCTGAGCACCTCGCTGGCCAGAGGCAACAAAGTAACTCCCCTCCAGTTTTCACAGTCCTGAAGGCTCCCTCGTTTTGGGATTTTGCAAATGAGTCATTTGGTCCACTGTGCCGGAACTGTCTATTCGTCCCAAATAAAGTCAAATATCCGCTTCAACTCTAAGCTGGTCCGTTCGATATCTGTTTTAAGCATTTCGGCTGAAATTTGTTCTGCCCCAGGGGCACCTCCATTCTTGAGGGCCTTCAGTGCGGCCCTTATTTCTTCCACATCTGGTGCCTCAGCTGAGATATCAAGCTCCTGTCCTTCCTCTCCCTCCTCCTGTGGTGGTTCCTCTGGTGCTTCTCTGTTGAGAACTTCCTGGAAATGTTCCTTCCATCTCGCCATTCTGGCCTCTTTGCTCGTCAGCAGCTCCCCGTTCACACTCTTCACTGCAGCAGTTTGTCTGGTGCTGGTTCTCTGTCCTGTCAGCCGCTTCACGATACTGTACAATTCTTTTTGTCTTCCGTTTTCTGCTGCGGTCTGCGCTCTCTCCGCTTCTTCCGACATCTACATTCTTTTGTCTTCTCTTACGCTCCTCTTCACCTCCCTGTCCTTTTCTCTGTACTCTTCTCTCATTCTGTTTTTAATTCTTTCTGATAGGGTGCTTTCAACCCGTATCTTGGCAATTCTTCTCTCGTCGATCAGCCTCCATGTATTGCTGCTGATCCATGGTTTGTTCACTCCTTTCTTGTACCTAAGCACCTCTTCTGCCGCCTTTGTGTAGGCATTTCTCTGCTGCTCCCATATCTCCTCTATGTTATTACTCTCGTTCCTTGAGGTGTCCAGTTTGTTTATGACTGCCCTGCGGTACTTCTTTCTCGTTTCGTCATTTTTCAGTCGTTCCACATCTATCCTTGGCTTCACCTTATATTTGTTTCTGTGGGTACTGAGGCTATTGATATCAGATAAGTAGTGATCGCTATTGATATCAGCTCCTCTCTGTGCACGCATGTCCAGGACAGATGATCTGCACCTACCGTTGATCAGGAGGTGGTCGATCTGATTTTTTACTCTTCCATCTGCAGATACCCGTGTTGCTTTGTGGGCGCTCTTGTGTGGGAATAATGTACCTGTTATCACAAGTCCATTTAGCTAGCAAAACTCGCATAATCTCTCTCCATTATCATTCTGCATCCCCAGCCCATGCACGCCCATAGTCCTCTCATACCCACTATAGCATTGAGGTCCCCCATGATGATGATGATGTCATTCCTGCTGCATCCATCTAATGTTTCTTGTAACTCTTGGTAGAACTGTTCTTTCTCCTCTTCCTTCCTCTCGTTGTGAGGGGCGTACACTTGAATTATTGTCACTCTTCTGTATCTCGAGTAGAATCTTGCTGTTATTATCCTCTTGTTGACGGGTGTCCATTCCACGAGTGCGTATCAGCAGGCTCGATCATAACTATTTTTTGGTAGATAATATCTACAACAAGGAAGCTGATCAAGGAATGCCGAGTACACCATTCAATGGAGTATAAAAATTACAACCCGTTTACATCTCGAAAAAAGTGTAAATATCGCAGACTTGATGAACAATAATATTCAATGTTTCTCAAAATTTATTTTCATTATAACTCTTTTAATACAAAGTTTACATATTTTTTGTTCCTGGTCACCGTTTATAAATGAATAGCTGGGTAAGCATGGAAAAATCCATATCGCCATCTCATTTACGAGTGGAGTAAAGTCCAGCCTAATTTGTGAAGAAACTCATAGGAAAGAGCCGAGCCTGTTCGTAGCCTCGCGGTTCTCAACCAGAACCTTAAGCAAAGCATAATGGAGCTGCAACAAGTTGTGAATGTTCCGCTATGTTAAAAATTTGCGACAGGCCTACGGCCAAATAAACGCGGAACACCCTATAACAACAAAATGGAAACCAATACATTGGATGATACGTAGAGGTGCAGTCAAAGCTTTCAGTGAAATGGTGACGGAATTGAGATGAGAGGAGCTATAGCCATGGGTTTGGGCTCTGATGAATTCAATTAATTTCTTTGTGACGATGTTGAGCGGCGCATGATAGGCTTCAAAGGTCAGTATAGCCTTGGGTGATGCAGCATATCTTCATCATCATAGTCTTGGGTGGTGCCCCCAAATGAACTCCGGGTTCGCGTTACACAGCTTAGGAGAAGAAAGTCCAAAAGACTTGCTCGATACCTTCATAAAGTTTCCATTATACTCTTTCACCGGAGAGTAGAAATTTGTCCTGATTCAACTCCACTTTGTGGCATAAATTAGCGAAGTCTTCCTGAAGAATTTTCTGTCTCACTGAAACGATGCTTTCATCCAGAGTGGCTAAGCCCTTGTTGCTTCAGAATCAGTTTGTTAGTGATATGCGACACCTGCAGTCAAAACATTATAAAATACAACTAAAACGACACGATAAAAAATGAATTTTTGAATTCCTTGCTGCGTCAGTGAGGCAAACAAAGAACTGAGGTACCCGAACTGAGAACTGAGGCACCATCAGATTCTGAAGAAATGTACACATAAAACCAATATAACAATATGCTGAAGATAAACAGAAAATTAAATTCATTGCGCCGCTGATAAAGCGGTCTTAAGCAGATAAATTCGTATTAATTATTGAATATAATCTAATAAACGCATTTCACAAAACGATAAATAGTTCGATCAAGAGAGCTGTTGTTTTAAAATTATATATAAATTGTTTCTAAATCGCTAAAATCTTAATGAATTTATTATTCCCCACGTGCGCCATGCTTAATTCAAAATGACGTAGTCATTCCGCTGTCGAGAGCGTTAACGAAATTCAAAGTCAAAACATTGGCTGTCGAGAGAAGGCGAACACAACTTCAGCCTACGAAAAATAAAGCAGTTTTTAGTGTGTATGTATGCAGCGACGCAGTTGGGTTGTGCTCTTCAGTTTGAATAAGCTTTTACTCCAGCACAAACGTATACGTCAATTTTTTAAACAATAAAAATCTTTAAAACTACAACTGTTCAATGAAAAACAACGCCCTCAAGAACTTCAATAAAGACGCTGGTATAATATGCCGTCACTACTTGAGGGTTTGCTCTCCGTGGGTCGAATAGCCAAGAGCGAAACTTAATTAAGTCAAAACAGGCTACGCTATGACTTTCCTGACTCGGGCAAGAAAACAGTCCGAGATTCGCCCTGTTCCTTGTGAACCATCCAACCTCGCCAGGAGAAATAAAAAATTTGCATTTGAATTGACGTCGTGTAAGTGGATGTACTACATGACCTCCAATGATATTGTCAGGCGGCCATGTTAAGCGCCACCTGACTAATCATGTTAGTAGTTCTACCTGAATCTGAGGACTAGGGATTCGTTGACTAAGTACGTGAGTGATAAGTAAGACGCTATCTTTCTAGAGAACTTATCTTGTTACGGGGTGGTGATACATGAGAGATATAATACGAGAAGAGGCTAAGATGCTGATCGTTAGGTCGGAGTAGCTCTAACGCGAGTTACATTGCTATGTGCTTGTCAGTTGCTGGGGCCTTACTGAGGTTTCCAGCCCTTTTAAAGAATCACGGCTTCCGCCCAATACTGAGGTCTTGATCGCGTGATCTTTCACGTGATATTGTGCATGCTGACTCAAGTCTAGTACTTTTCCATCAATCACTACCACGCCAATGAATATTACGTCTCAATTACAGATGATCTTATCTTAGAATGTAAATATAATGAATAGAATGAGACGCCTGATTGACACCGGAAAACATAATTTTAACTTGATTGTCTTAATAAATGCAATGTTAGAGGATTCGTTTTTTATTACGGGTTCGGCATACCTGAAGTTGAATTGAAACTGCTGCGCCAGATAAATTTCCATGGTTTAACCTTGATATCTAATGTTGTTAATAAGCGTTATTAGGCGTTATTATTATCATTAAGTGCTGAGATTATTTGTGAGACGTGTTTCACAATGATACCTGCTATTACCAGATCAATTCTCAATCAATAATCTAATATTAACCGTAATTGGTAATAATTAAAACATTGTTCTACTTGTATTACGAACAGCTGGCCGGACTGGATTCGTCCCCTACTTCCTGGGGCTTTACCGCTACAACGGCGTGTGGCGTTGGAGCGGCGGCCAGCTCATGAGCGGCGTGACCAGCTCGGGGCATTGGTGGCCCGGCGACCCCAATGAAAATGCGGACTGCGCTGTCATGGAACTCAATCCCGGTCATCCAGGGTTTATTCCCAAACTGGCGGACACCCCATGCACGGATACTGCGTGGTTTGTGTGTGCACTGCAGTAATGGTTAGTTTGAAAGATGGAGATGGCAGATACAATGGTTCAAGAGATTGCTGTTGCAATGGTGGGGAGGTGACAGTTTCTAAGGTGCAGATGCGACAGTTGTTATGGTGCAGAGGTGGCTGTTGCAGTTGTGCAGAGGTGACAGTTGCAATGGTGCAGAGGTGACAGTTGCAATGGTGCATAGGTGGCAATTGCAGTTNTGACAGCTGTAATGGTGCAGAGGTGACAGTTGTAATGGTGCAGAGGTGACAGGTGAAATGATGCAGAGGTGACAGTTGTCATAGTGCAGAGGTTTGTTGCAATGTTGCAGAGGTGACAGTTTAATGGTGTAGAGGTGACCGCTGTAAGTATAAATAAGAGATGGCGGCTACAGTTGTGAAGTTGCTTGTTAAATTGAGTACGGGACAAGATAGATGCATAAGTGCAGAATTGGCGGCTACAACTGATGGTGCATGAACCTGTGTAAAAATATATAATCACTGATAATGAGTGAAATAGATGCTTCAAGGAGAGAAGTTTTCAGAGATCACTCGTTCGAACTCAAAGTTTTAATAATATTTCAGTGTTTAGCACTTTTTCTCTGATATTTATGTGTTTGATCAATACGTTAGTGAATCTGCTTGACAGCAATTTTTGACGGTAGGGTGGCCGAATGGTTAAAATTCCGAGCGCCAAAATTGGTACAATGATTGCGAGTTCAATACCAGAAGCGAACTGTGAAAAGTTCTGGACGAAATCGACGCCCGGCCGAGCGGCATAATCTTTATCGCTGACAGCTATATTATTTTTATTATTAAAATAATTAGTATCATTATTACTTGAATTTATATTATGCAGTGAAATAAATTGTCTTCAGAGGATGCACATTGACCCAATACGTGTTCACAGCACTTTATAGGCACCTCAAGCACTTGAAAACCTGTTAATTGAACCGTTAACACTATATTTATCGCTTTGATATGTGCATATTGTGCATACGGCAATCAACTGTGACAAATGGCTTGATACGGGGGCTTTGTTGGGTTGATGTGCTCTGTAGGGGTTATGTATTGTGATAACATTGTGGGGTACCTAATCAAACGCAACGTGGGCGATAGTGCAGATAAGTGCACAACCCCGAAAATGGGCCGTTGGAGTGCATTCACTGAAAAAAACAAACAGCAAATGCTTCGCGACTGATGTAAGACACATTCAGCATTGTTTTAGCAGCCACTGATAAAGAAATTAATGGATATGGTAACGGCTACAATTTTCATCAAATTGGTCTGAGCCGAAAAATCAGGCTTGGCTTTCATCGATCGAAAAGTGCCTGTTTTGACCGGGTATCAGATTCTTTGCCTTGTGGGATTAGAACTGGATGTTTGCATGAATGTGTGCTATCACGATGCTGTATTTATAGAGTCTAGACTAATCATACATTGACCTAAGGAAGTGTCACAACTATTTGAATGATTCAGGATAGGTGACTAATGCTGCCGTCGCAGACAAATAAGTCATACCCTATATAATCTACCTGGTTTGGAACTCGCAAAGGACGAGCAATTAAGGTGATCGGTGGCAGGGGAAGCGTTGACAGTTAAAAATGTTACATTGATCAGTTAGTTTTCTGAACTTAGATAATATTGTTAATTAATTAGAAAGTTTGCAATTCAAAGCTGACCAAAGAAGAATTATGAATTTTTCACGCAATTTCAGCCTACTAGGACGGATATCAATGAGGAAATTTCTATTGATAATTATTGAATTATTGAAATTTGATTTTGTAATCTGTAACATAAAATTTATATTGATACTTGAATGTTGGTTCCGATCTATTTTCAAATTTATAATAGTTGCAGAGAATTTCGCATAAAGTTGGCACGGATCATCGCAATGCAAAGCGTTAACCTACTCGGAACTTAATGCTGGACAGAAAACTTAGTTGTGACAATTAAAAGTTACTATGAAAGCTTTTCGTTTCAATGGAATCCCCGAAAAATTAATCTGGAACGATTTCTGAAATAAACAATGTCTTCCAAAAAAGTAGGTTCACATAGTTTGTTTCAGGACATCAGTTATGTTTCAGGACATCAGTTATGTTTGAGGAACCGCATAAGGATTATTTCAAGTTCATTTAGCAATGACATTTTCGTTGACCACGCTGGCTGGTCATACTGTAATTGAACTCACGTGTAAGGCAGCGAACGAGGGAATCTCTCAATCAGGGGATCGAGTCATCAAAATATTTTTGATCGGTTTAATTTTCAGCAAGTGACTTTTATAGACGTTAGAGTAGCCTACAGTACTATAACCCTGGTGGTCTTCACATTATTGGATGTAGAGTCCAGTGAATTTCGACTCTCGCTTAGCATTGCACTCCCATAAATTCGTTGTCAAGACTTTTATTGATATCATTTATTGTAAATCAAGGACAAAGGCATTCTTTTGGGAAAATATTGTCCCAGGTGTTACGACCTGAGGATCGGGTTACGTAACTAAGGTAACGGAGGATAAGTAAGACACATGTGTCTGATAACATCTTTTATATACTGGCTGGTTATATAGGAGTACGAAACAGAGGTATAAGCTACGGCGTCGACCGTAAGGTCGGAGAACTCTACAAACGCGTTACATCGCGAAGCGCTTATCAACTACTGCGGGGGCCTTACTTAATTAAAGTGCTAGCCCTTATATAGCATTCGCTTCCGCCCACTACTAAGGTCTTGATCGCGTGATCTATCGCGTGCCTTCCCGATGTTGACACGTCATCAATCTCTATCAGGTCAAGTGAATATCACGTCTTAATTACATTCAATTATGATTATAATTAGACGCCAGATTGACACCGGACACCTCCCTCTTCCTGAAAAGATCGTCCCGATCGTATGGAAATAAAATAAAAAAAACATCTTGTTCAAAACCTCTGATCAGATCGTATCTCATACCCTAAGTATTCATTAAGGAAGGTTGTATTATAATTGATTAATATATATGGGGATACTGTTCCTGACAGTATGAAAAACCGGAGTATGACACTTTTAAAGGAAAAGAACAAGTCCATCTCCAACGCTATTTGAAAGAAATTTTAACTGGGATTTTTGTTTTCCTTGTGGTATTTGATGCTACGTTCCTCTGTTCTTCGGGTTCATATCCTTGTGTCACATAAGCTGATTGATCGGCGGACTCAGCTTCGGCTGTTGAAGGTTAGTTATGATTTCAGATTCCTCCTATGACCTATCTTGATCATTCATTCCCTCTCTCTCTCTAGAGAAAATTGTTTCTACAATTTCCGTGGTAAGAATTAGAAACTGAATACATCAGGTTACGGGAATACTAATAGAATCCATATCTACGAATATAAAAATAATGAGAGCATCATAAATCTTGAATTAAGATTATAACACAAAATAATAAGGATTATAGCGTTCACAGAGTATTGGAAGAGATATAAATCATCGAATCTTCACCTCAAGAGAAACATTTTAAATCGACAATGAATAATTAGATTCAAATAATAGGATTGATTCATCGCTAACACCGAGTTTCTTTAATTAGATATATTAACTTTAAATGCAACATATTTACAACACATTTATTATCGGCGAGCTTTCATTAAATCGCAGAGAAAATAGTTTGTACAGAGTTCTGCATGTTTCTCACAATCATAAAATCGTGATGATATGAACGCATCATAGAAATCAATATTAGCATCGGTCTGTTTCATTAATTTTATTACACTGCTAATGCAAATGCTAGCAAAATGACTTTTAGATTGAAATGCAACTCAAATTTCGAAGTGCAATAAGCATCAATATTCATTTAGCGTGAAAACGTGGCAAAATTCGCTATAAAATCATACAGTAAAAATGAAATTGTTAAATAAAATAAAGCATTCTGCGTCAATATGTCAATTTCAACCGTGGGAAATATTACATATGAGTGGTAAACACAGTAATTGTATGAAACCATTCGTCATTCGCAGCACTTTATTCAAATACAATATAATATTTAAAAAAAATAATCTTATTAATATTAAACATCGTTCGAATTATAAGTAGCAAAATGTAGACACATACATGAACAATTAGTTACTTTCAACAGTAAATTTATCACACTTCGTCACACTTGAATGATCTCATTGACAATGGTTTAATAAAAATAATCACCTCTGTATTGATAATATCACGATATCTCTTGCATTAGCAAGTCTCATCAAGAACGAACTGTATGAACCATATTATTGCTATGTGCTTCAATTAGATCGTTTGTCTCAAAAAAGATCTCATTTATTGCCATCGCTGAGCGTGAAGTCATTTTTATTACGACGCAATTTTCGAACAGACTTTGCGCAAGGTCAGCAAATATTGCTTGCATCGTCTATAAATTCAATGATTGTTGGTGAATTGGGGTCGAATTTTTTACGTGCATTACGAGATCAATTGTCGGCATTAATTCAAGCAATATCAAATTATCTGATTAAAAAATTTTGCACGACATGATCAAGCGTTAGAAAAGTTAATTTATAGCTTAGCACACTCATCATAATCACAGATCCATTTATGTTCAACTCGAAAATTCACCTTTTCATATTAAAATGCGCATAATTGTATTTTTCAAGAAAACACATTCAATAATAGTGCAAAAATCGCAACCAAATGAAAATAGCAACGCAACTGTTAATAATAATAGCAACTTAACTGGAAATACATTGCATCCTCATAAGAAAGTTATGGGCTCGATACAGGGTATTGAGATCGTTGCGAAGAATGAAGGTTATAGAATAAAAATATTTCTCAACCATTCAGAGGGAGAAAAAAAATCTCACTGTTTCGAGTGTTAGCATTTTAGGACGTTGAACTCTTTGAGATGCACGTGATCACCAGTCTTTGACGGCTGTATCTACACATGACTGTTACAATAAGCAATTGTTACCGTTTATTCTACTTTTAAAGATTAAATCTACTGTTCGAAATCCCTTGGATGTCTCAATTTATCAATTC